CCTCCAGAGCGTCCTCCTGTTTACGCTGTCTGTGAGGCTGGAGCAGAAACATAAATGGAAGCGTGTATCTGCAGTTTGATCTTTGACACAGCTGATGACTGCAGCAGTACAGGATGTGGTTTAGAAACAGACTGGGTGTGACTGACTGTCTCAGTTCTAGTGTGTTTCCGTAGCCCCCCCCCCCCCCCCCCCCCCCCCCCCCGGTTGACTGTCTGAAGCTGATAGGAAGGGCACCCAAATAAAGTCTGTTTACTTCCTCATGTCAGAGGGGGAAAAACCGAGCAGCAGGCTAATGGCTGCCGCCTGGGTTTGTGGTTCCTTCTAGGAACTGGTCTGTTTTTTTTCCCTTTATTCCCTGGCCATGGATGTAATGGCTTTGATAAAGTGTTTTTTTTTTAAAGAGTATAAACTGCAAATAAAAATGCAATGCAATAACCTATCCCTTATTATACCCTCCATCTGATTTGCCGCTCTGCTTGTCGAGACAGGTTTTTACGATGTCTGTGTATCGTTTAAATACATGGGCAGGGTTTTTATTGTTTTACTGTAAGGTCAGTAGCCTGATTGCTGGTGTTTAACCGAGGATAATGAGTACAGAAAATAATCTTTAGACACCCTTCTCTGTTATCCATTACTCAGTTTCCTCCTCTTGGTCTGCACGACATTTATATTTTTTTTTTGTGAATTACAGTCACAAACTTGTATTGGTAACAACATTTATTGGTGACACAAAGAATCAAAGAATTGTGAAGCAGAAGAAAACATACATGGAAAACATACAGTGCTCATGATCCTGAACACTCCATCTCCATGGTGGAGGCAGCATCATGCTGTGGGGAGCAAAAGTAAAGTGGGTTAAATATGTTGGTAGAGCGGATGGAGTAGAAAACAGTCCTGGAGGCTGCGAAGGATCATTTCAGCAAATCCCAATAAAATACAGTTTGTAGCTATGCAGGGTACTGTAAACGACTTGGAAAACTATTGTCAGGAAATGAATGTCTGTGCTTGCTCCATCTCTCATTTTAAATCATTTAAAAAAGCTCATGCAGCACTTTACTACATGCATGTTTGTTCATTTTGCATGAAAGGAGACAGCGTGTGTATTTATAGCCCAGAGTCAACTTTGAGGTATGTCTGCTGCACTTAGACGGCAGTCATCTGGAGGCTCCACGTGACTGAGGAGGAGAGCCCGACCTTGGACCCGGCTGCGCTCTCTGTGAGGCAGTGTGTCAGTCTCTGTGCATGCCTGGCACCTTCGCCTCTAACCAACAAGCATCCTTACCAGTTCTCGCTCTCACTCGCATTCCCTGCAGCCTTCGACAGCAGAGAAAACAGCCGGCAGCCTCCTTTTTTTATTTTTTTTCCCCTTAAAGTGCCGATCCTTAATCTCGTGCAGAAATCAGCTGAATGAGTTGGAAATGCTTGTGCACAGGCAGACAAATCAATTACCCAATCCTGTCCTTGTATTAGATTTTTATGTAGCTTTTTTATGCTTCTTCTACACTAAAGTGATTCAAACATTTTTTAAGTGACGAGGCTCAGGTTAAATAGAGAGTGGTGGTTAAATGTTGAAGATGCAACCTAGTGTAGAAAAATGAAGCGTTTTCTCCCTGTTCACACTGATGTAGAGTCATGGATGTGTTTATTACCCTGCTACTGTCATTGTTTGATACAACTGCACTCCAAAAAAAAAGCTACTTTTTCTTTTTTTCTTACTGCATCTACTGCAGAAGTGTCACGTGTTGACGCCACAGTTGGAGCGGAGTGAACTGAGGCTTTTGAAGTGGGTCACTGTGGGGAGTTCACATGGCTGTTAGTGTCTAGAGCGGAGTGTAGCTGCAGCAGCAGGCAGCCTGCTGGTGATCAGGAACAACAGGGCAGAGTTCAGCAGGGCGAGCGCGTGGAATGCTAATCCACATTATAAGGCGAGCCACGGCCTGACAAAGGGCTGCTTAAAAGCACGTCTGCCTCCGTCGGTGTGTGTGTGTGTGTCCAGGAACGTCTCTGATAAGCCAGGGGCTTCATTAGTGCAAGTAGCATCCTGGTTGACTAAAGTAAGGTGGGGGTGGAAGGAAAGAGGTGAGGACAGGGCTGTGTTGATATGTGTGAACGTTTGCTCTGCTCACGTTCATCAAGGACCAGAGAGCAGCAGTGATAATGAGCCTGGGTGTGCGCTTGTGTGGGTGGTGGGTGTAAAGCTGTCAGCTGTCAGGTGAGCAGGATTTACTGTGAGAGACATGCGACCAGTGGCAGCGGCGGGGGGGGGGAGACGATACCATGAATATTGCTGTGAATTTTCCTTCTAACATCATTAAACAGATGGATCCATCCACAAGGATTATTTAATCGGATTAGATAAATCAATCAAACACAAGAGGATCTTTTAATTCATAATTCCTCTTATGAAGGGGAGCCAATCTGACCCTATGTGAGAATATAATCCATTTCTCATTAAGTTAGGAATAACTTATCAGTTGTATAGGTTTATTTCTACTCAGACCAACAGACTCAGACCAACAGTCAACTGACAACATGAAGTAGACCTAAAGATCTGAACAAACCATGACTCGTCCTAAAGCAAAGTCAAGAACAGATGAGAATAATGTTAATCATTTTAGTAGTGCTGCAAAGTTATTTTTCAGTCTTTGGGGTGATCAATTCAGCTCACCATAAGAAATATCCTGAAGGGAACATCGTAGCCATCAGCTTGGAACCCTAGAGGTTATTCAAAGGAGAATCCTCCAAAGAGCAGCAGTAAGACCTCCTCTTCATGTCTTAGGATAAAGAACATCTAGAAATATAAATCATGTTTTTTCTAATGGCCTAGTCAAAGTCCAGATATCCCTGTTATGACCTAAAATCCCCTGGCCATGGTGCTGAATTTGACCGATTAAAGGGAGCTGTTGGGAAGAAGGCACATCGTTCCCGTCACTGCAGCGTTTTTTTTCCCTCTCTTAACTCTCCCTCCTTCCCTCCATCTTTTGCTGTCCGATCATCCCACCCTCCCTCTTCCACCCCTTCACTCAACCCCTCCCTTCAGTTCTGCAGTGCTTCCTCCTGTGCAGGAAAAGAGGAAAGAAAAAAAAAAAGGAAAAACCACCAACCGTATGCGCTGTGGAGCTGACAAGCCCCCTGCTTTATGCACGCTCAGACACACCAGGCTGCACAGCCAGCTCCACTTGCATTTGCATGCTCATTCAGCCACGGCCTTGTAAATAAGGGACAATCCCCTGCTCGGCCTGCAGAAGAGACAACACAAATCAGTAGTTGTTTGTTTTTTGCATTTTAATCTAAACCTGTTCAGATAGAAGACTATTACTAATGTCCATGGAGCGGCTCGTTGAATTTATGGGGAAATAAAACAAGAACAGCAGTGTCTCTCTTTATGAGGCCGGGTTTCTGTTTGATAGCTGTTGAACAAGGTTTGAGGTCTGGGTGTGTGTCGTAGGCAGTAAAAGATAGCGTTTCTCAGACTGGATTAAAGCGATAAGAGAGAATTATTGTAATGTCAGAAAGGAATGCAGCTCGTATAAATGAAAAGCAGCAAAGACCTGAATGTTACAATCATTTACGCGTATTGTTCTTAGCTTCCAAAACGACTGCATCTGTGTGGAGGAAAATCTTTTCCTCCAGTTGTTGAAAAGCTGTCTCCCTGCCATAGATGTAAGCTGTAAGCCTTTAAAAGGCTTGGGAGTCAATTATTGATGCTTTCTACAGCCCCCCATCTCATCCTCCCCTCTCTCTCTCTCAATCTTCATCTTCCTCTCTGCGTATGTTCCTACCCAGCCGGAGCTTCTCGTTCCTCTGGTGAAACCGTGCTACCCGTCGCTCCCCTTCAAAGTGCTTGTGTGTTGTGAGACCCGTCTGCCTCAGATAAGCATCAAGTGTGTCAGTTCGTGGCCTCTCACTGAGCGTGCCCCGAATTTCTCCCCAAAACTTGCACAGACCCAGAAACGAGCAGGCACAACCAGAGACGGGAGCAGAGGTATTTACCAAACACATCTGCAGACGCTCTAATGTACATCTGTGCTTTGAACCCAGAGGTGGGCTCCAGCTGCGCCGCGTGTCTGCAAAGAAGCACCTGACAACATGACATGCTGACTGTCAGCAAGGCTGCTTCTTGTGTTGTATTTATAGGCTCACCCAATCCACTGCTGTTACTGTATCAAACTGAGGTAAAAATGCCAGATTGTTATAGTACCTACAATCAAAAATAGTATGAAACATTGTCTGATTGGTCAGATTTATGAGAGAAAAACTATTGTGTTAGAGCAGACTGCCACCTCTTTAAGGATTCAAAGAATATTTCTAATTGGTTGATTTGCTAGCTGGTTTGATTGAAATTAGATCTTTTTCCAGTATTTTTATTATCTGTTGGTTCTAAATGCATCAGTTTATTTTTTGGGGGGTTATTACTAAGAGAATATGATGAAAATATTTTGTCATCATAAAGTCAGCCATCCTACATGTCTGACAAAACTGGAAATATTTCCAAACCTCCGCGTTGTTCTTTTCTTGTAAAGGTGTTAAATCTCTGAAGCTCATCTTCTAGTAACTGACTGCGACAGAGCAGCAACAAGTGGGGGAGGGAGCACCGACTTGCTGAAGAACAGTCAGCTCAAACTCTCTGGTTTCTAATTGAAAAAGTAAAGCTCTAGGAATTGGTGCAAAACGATACGTTTGAAGGAAACTGATATATTTTGGTACTGGTCCATTTCTCCTTTAATTAGAACGATCATCTAAAAGGTTCTGAATAAAAGAGGGTTGGAAAGGGTGAAAAACTGCCAGGAATATTAACACCTTTTCTGTTTAGGACAAAGGGGGCGATGGGAAATTGCAGGAGGTTGCATTAAACCACCTAACTGTAGGTGCACAGCGTCATGCCCATTTACCTTCTTTTGACATTGTTATTCATTGAATCCATCAGGATTCAGCGATTCTCCTTCATGGCGACTCTGGATTAATTCCCTCGCCCTCTCTCTCACTTTGTGTTTTTTTAGAAGTCTGCGGAGGAAGAGGAGAGCCAGCTGAGGAAGCACTCTGTGGAAATGTGCTCTTCTTCAGACAAGCTAGGTGACGCAGAGCCGACACGGAAGGTCAGTTTCACCTCTAAGGGTCTCACCTCTGCCCTCTTTCACACCCTGTGTCCACATTCATCACCGCACACTTTTCTCCTTCAACTTTCTGTTTGGGAAGACGAATAACAAACTCCCCCCACCCACATGAATAAATTATGATGACTCCTGATGATGTGCATCATCTCAGCTGATGCCTGATGGGTAATCCCTCAATCATGTCTCGCATGTATGCCTGTATATTAGATTATGGCTCCAGGAGAGCGATGTGCAGCGCAGCTCATTCCGGTCCGCCTCAATCGTTTCTTCTCTCTATATTTATGTGTGTTGTTGAACCGATCCGCTCTAGTTTTCATCATGGAGCAGAACATCTGGAACCAAACAGTACTTCAGCAAGACATTGTTTAGTGTCATATGTACGCTGGTGTCTAAAGAGGGTTTGTTTTATTTTTCACAGGGGAAACCGGCCCCACCTGCCCTGGAGTTTAACAGTCTCTTCACAGACATCAAGGAGGAGCCAGGACACCCCACCCTGGTCCATCCCAGGTACTGCACCCTCACCTGTGACACAACCAGAGGTCTAATCATTTCCCTCTGCTGTGCTGCTGTTGGTGTAATGCTGCTTTGATTGCTTTCATTCTGATCAGATGGGGTCATTGGACTTTAAGTCTACGAAAGTAATCTGTCCTTTAAAATCATCAATACTATCCTTATTTAGATGCTATCTGGTTCTTGCCAAGCTCGTTCCCCTTTTTATGTGTTTAGAAACAGGAAATGTCATAATTGTTGTGTTCTTACAGAAGAGGCACAAACAAAAATAACAATACAAAAAAAATCATTACTATAAACTATAAAACTTGGTGTCTTGGTGGGTTTACTCTTCCTCAAAGAATGCGTTTCTGTTAAAGAAATCATAAATTAGTTTGATTAGTAGATATAACAAACTCAGGGAAGGGTTAAGGATGAAAAAGTAAAGCTGTTATTGTTTAAACAAGCAAAGAAATCTGATTATTAACATTCAGCAACTTTCCTTAAAAAAAAGGTCAATTAATAAAAAAATAAGCTGTAAAAAGGGAGTAAAAAGTCTAAATAATTTCCATTCATGATATGCTTGTTGAAAGTCGTTGCTAAAACTATTAGAATTAGTAATTGTGAACATCATTGTTTTTATAATGATATAATCGATACTGATGTTTAAAAAAAAAAAAAACAACAACTAGAAATGAGAAGTAATGGGGCCGTTGTCTTGTAGCTCCTTGTCCAACTTTACTGGATGGTCTTTTATAATTTTTGCTTTTCATGACGGGCTTTTTCATGGTTCTTTTCTCTTGGTTGGTTTTGTCAAAGTGAAAAATTGGGTTTCTCCCAGACTCCAAATAACAGCCGTCCAGTCCTGTCTGTTCCCTCCGACCCTCTCAGCTTCTCCTCTAGTTGCTTCAGAGTCCCCTCGGCTGTAGCTTGGTTTTAGCTAATGCAGTAATCTCTCCCAGATTAAAGACTGGAATTACAGGGTTTACTGAGCCACTGCAGCATCTGACTGCTTCTCTCATAGACGTCAGGTCAGACACATAGGAGGATGGGAGGTGGAAAGGAGAGATTAGAGCCGTGATCACCTTGTGGCTTCGCTAGATGTCACATGTAAACAATTCCAGTCAGATTAGAGCAGCAGTTTAGATCCAGACAGAGTTACATTTTATCTTGCCACAGACATCCTTTTAGTGGGGCATGTGTCTAATACAGTCCTGCTTTGCATTATTCTATTATGTCTGAGTTGATATGAGTGAAGGAGCTTGATATTCCCTCACAGACAAGTAGGCAGTGCTTTGTTTCCATCCAGAGGGAGAGGAAGTATGCCTTGGCTGGTAGAGTAGTCCCACTAAGCTGTCAGACTTAACCTAGTTCACCGCTGCAGCCTCTGCGCTGTCTGAAGCAGGGCTGCTGCTGGTAGGGGGAGGGGGCAGGAGCTCCTCCTCTCTCCTCTCTTCGCTCCCAGACAGACGCAGTGTTGGCTTAGTGACTTCAGAGCATCTCCAGGCAGTATCTGTCTCCCCGTCGCGCCCCATTACCTGGACCTACATGATAAGCCGAAGGTCTGTTTAGGCTGAGATCCTGGCAACACTCGATAAGGAGTATCCCTATCCCCCTGTCGGTTTTTGGAGCTTCTGCTGTTTGGATTGTCTCGTTACCTTGAGCTAATAGAGATAGCAAACAGAGATTGCTCTTTGTTTTTTTTGTTTGTTGTAAGGGCCCATAACTCTTCACCATTTAGAGCAAATACTCACAAAGTAAACCACTTTTTAACACTTTTATGCTGCTGATGTAAAGCAAACAGCTTTATATCAGCTTTTCTTGATATTTCAGCCAGAGACCTTGATGTATTTTAACATGTTGAGATAAAAAAAACATGCAGCAGAACTTAATTGTGAAGAAGAAAACTCTCACCTAATTAGTAGTGTCCATTCATCTGTATCAGCATTAGTATTATAACAGGGATTAACATCATGTTACCAACAGAGATGAAAAATATATTTTTTTAAATGCTGTGTAAATAAAATCTGCAAAAGCCTGCAAAATATGCCGATCTTCCAGACAAGTAAAACTCAGAATGGGTTACTTCTAAAACTATCTTTCTATGGTTAAGGTTAATGTTGTAGTTTTGCTTTAAGTTATTGTTAAAGGGGGATAAAAAAACAAAAACAAAAAAAAGATTATGTAAACCAAGAGTACTTCTGGATAGTATTGCAATATTTCTTTTTTAGCCTAAATAGAATTCCAGCACCGACCACAATGAGCTGACATAAACCAAAGTGAGCTCTATCTGCAGGCAGCAACAAAACTAACAGAAAGCTATATGGCGATAAATTACAGCTGCGTAATAAAGCCTAAATCTGATCATCCTGCAATGTCTCGTGGTAAAGCAACATGCATCAAGGTCAACTTATGTTGATTAAATAAATGGATTTAAAGCAGCTCTAGTAAAGGTATATATTCACACCAGTGATGGGACTAACGGCGTTGAAACTAACGGCGTTACTAACGCCGTTACCTTGTTTTAGTAACGAGTAATCTAACTAATTACTTTGACTGTAACTATAACGCAGTTACCATTGCAGACACCCCGTTACTGCGCGTTACTCAGGTCGCACAATGAACCTTTTTTCATGATGGGACTCGTGCGCAGCTGCGTGAAGCTGACACCCCACCCACGTCAAAAAACTCTGCAAATAGACTGAATGGTTAGTGCAGATTTGTGCAGAAAAAAATATTGTTTGTGCTACTTTTGTTTAAGAGATATTAAAGATTATTTTTTAGGTCATCCAGAGGTGCGCGCCTTGTCATGAGAGAGGGGAGGATGAGAATGGCTGATGTATAGTGAGATTCCGTCTGTCAGTTGAATAGGTGGGTGTTTCTGCTGGTGGGTGTTAACGTACAGCACACACAGAGAGATGGAGAGTGAGGAGGACTCCAGCAGCAAAACAGCGTTTTCCACATGGAAACACCGGTGTTACGTCGAGCTGCGTTTCCCCATCACATAACGCTTTCCTCTGCATCTCCACACAGCGCAGGCGGCACGATTCACCGCGCAAGCGACAGGAAACACGCATGCTCGCTAAAGGCGCGCAACAGTCGCCCTGTGCTCGCGCCACAGGAGAACTATGGAGAGCGTGAACGATCAAATGATTAACCTGACAACAGCCAGAAATGATAGCCTGTATGGAGAAAGGGAGAAATCTGGATGGATGGATGGATGGATGGATGGATGGATGGATGGATGGATGGATGGATGGATGGATGGATGGATGGATGGATACTCTGCCTTCTCAACCTACTGTATTTTTTATTTTAAACATTATTTGATGGCCTTTGTGGCAGGGATGAAGATCCATATTTTATGTCACACACAGAGTATACATCTGGATAGATAGATGGATAGATAGATGTTGCAATATCTATAACAACCCAAACACACAGGATTTCAGAATTAGACATCCCCAGTTATTAATTTCATATACTCACCGGATCTGAATGTCCTGTTATAAAACTTCACATGGCGTTCCCCCTGATGTCATTTACGTTGAGTTGCAATAAATGCTAAACTGTCTGCAGGTTCTTGTCTTTGTCGTCCTCTCTATTCAGCTGGCTTTGGAAACACACGGCGAGAAGGTGGGGGCCGGGTGGTGAGGTTTACGGGGGCGAGAAACGCAAAAGTAACACAATAGTTACTTTTACTAGTAACTAGTTACTTTTATTGTGGAGTAACTCAGTTAGTAACTCAGTTACTTTTTGGGAGAAGTAACTAGTAACTATAACTAATAACTTTTTCAAAGTAACGTGCCCAACACTGATTCACACCAAGCATGTTTTGAGTGCTAAAAAGGCATCAAATGCCTCAAATTTCAAAGTCAGACGCTCTGGATTCGTGATGCCCGACGCTCTGGGCGTTGAGCTTTTCTGTTCTTCTTGCAATCCAGAGAGTGGCTTTATCTGCTTTGTTGAGTTGGAAAAAAAGGAGTTTTAACATGTTTTAGGCGAGAAAGTCCACCTTAAGACCTTAATTCCCAATTTTAGCTTCCTCTTCAGTGAACACCAATGTTAAATACTGTATTCCAAGCATTATTAGACTCTTGGAAGCAAATACTTTTTTGTGGTTTTATTTCACACTGGACCTTGGACTTTCTTCATTGCTTTCCTAATATTGGGAGATGCTAACTGGCTTAGCCCCGTTATGATTCATTGTGTTTCCCCCTGGACACATTTACAGTAACATACCTCATCTCTAGCCATTTTGTTATAGGAAATATACATGAAGGATTTAGTTTACTAAGAAATTGAACAATAAAATAAAGGGTAATTTACAAAAAGAACAATTAGTACAGCAGTAGGATACTTTAATCTTTCAGAAAAACATTGTACCCTACTTAAGTGAGCTACTGGCATATAAATAAAAGAAATGTCATTTAACAATTACGTATGTACCTTTAAGGTCTGAATAATGGATAACAATCATTTTCTGATTATGTTATAAGGAATATGAACTCTACAGAGGATTTTATTTGAGGTTAAACAAATACCATATGGACAAACATCATGCTGCAGGAATTTTCATCTGTAGCAGAGAGGAAGCTGTTTAGAATAAACACTTCGCTGCTTTGTGCTGGTCTGTCTTGTATAATCCTGATTAAAAGACAGAGGTTTGTTAGCTCAAAAGGCAGGGAATGTTAATAAAAGCACTGAAGAACAAGCCATCGATCCTTACATGCATGTCTCTGTCCCTCTGTTTCCCAGCTACTACCTGTACACGTATGATAAGATGGTGGCTCCCAACGTTTCTCTGCGGAGGGAGGCGGAGATGAGCCCCGAGATGCTGGGGGCGCTGCTCAAACACCACTACAGCCGCCGGATGCTTGGCCACGAAGAGCCGCCTATAGGTCAGTAATAACGCAAACTAAACCTATCGATGCTGAAATGCATTTTTTTGTTTATAAAGAGTTTTATCTTTAGATTTTATGATACTTTCTTTTGGAAAAAGGTACCTTTATAAAAACGTTTATTTTCTTGCTTAATTTTTATTTCACATGGAAAAAATTAACATGAAGTCCAAATTTCCCACCAAATTCATTTAGCAGTACATAATGCTCATTTGCTTACTGTTGTAGAACAGCAGTTCTGGTTGAAATAGTAGATTTATTTTAACTTTATTCTCTTACACTCTGGAAACATTTACTAATAGTTAAGTTAGTAGGCAGCATCCCATATGATGCCTTAAACCAGTGTTCAAGGTAAACATCTAAACATTTGGTTTGTTAAACCAGAAGAAATTTAATGTTAGATTTTAGATTAAGTCTGTTTAAAGTTATTTTTACATGTGTTTATCAGAGGCGTGAATAATTGCAGAGGGTTATTTAGTTTAAAGCGGCTGATTTTGTTTTTAATAAGTGAAATAATTAACAGAGTTGTTACATGAATATTGAACTCGTAAATAAGTATTGACAGATTTTACCATATGTTTATATCTTGAGCCTTTATGAAGCTAATATGTTGGTAGAACTCTCTCTGCTGTGCAACATTTCCTTTAACAGTGCTTAGCAAATGCCAGTGTAGAACACAGAACGTTCATTAATATTAATTTGGTCTAATTTAATGGTAAATCATTTCCAACGCTGCTATTTTCCCATCAAATGAATCCTTCATATTTAATTAGTACTCTAGTGTTTGCCTGTTGGACACAGTCTGACGTGTGTCTACTATAAATACTCGACATTAATACAGCAAGCAGCAGCTGTTTGCATGCAGCATAAGCATAAATGACAGGCGTATCAAGTTCAAGCAGCTCACTCAGAGCTGACACATGCTCAGCAGCAACTTCCAGCACTTAACTCTGCAGCCTGCGCTGATGCACAGAGTCACTCGCTGACCTTCGATTCACTACACTGCGGGCTTCTGCACGTCTGAGGCGCCGGTGACCTCCTCCTCCCTGTCATGCGTTCACATATAGAGGCTGAATCGGTGAACAGTTTCCCTGTCGTTATTAATGCGCCGTCTGACTGCCAGGCTGCATCTCTCTCTCTGTTTCTAACCAATCTGTCTTCTTTCCCTCTATCCTCCCTCTCTCCCTGTTTTCCTGGCAGCCAGCAGTGCTGCCTCTCTGAGCCGACTCTCCGTCTGTTCCCTCGCTTCTCTTCCGTCCATCTATCCATCATTGTCTCTTCCTTCTCTGGCTGCCTTCATCTCTCAGTCTGCTGTCAAATCCTCCACCCACTTCTCTCACAGTGAGCTTTCCTCCATCTTTCCTGCATTTTTCCAAACCTACCTCGATTTTTATTTTCTACTTTAGGATGTTTATAAAAGTAGGCTGTAGAGCGACATCCTGCAGTGCAGCTTTTAGCCTCATCTCCACCAAACCACTGGTTTGAATAGAGGATCTAATATTAGCTCTGTGGCTTTGAATCAGTTTGAATGATGATCTGTGCCACAGATTAGCATCCTACCTAATGTTTCCCATGATGTACACCTTGAAGACCGCACTCAGGGAAACAAACCAGAGTTTAGAGAAAGAAGGAGACGGAGCGGCGCTCCCACACATGGCCCTTTATTCCTGTTTCTGTGACCGAGGGCAAACGCACAGAAATTGTAGGCGAGTGTTTGGTTCCTCGGAAGAAGTGTGAGGTTTTCTGAGGATGTATGAGGCCGTTACTAAGCGTACACACCACTACAGCTCACACTTTTTGTCTTTCAACCACTTCCTCTACTTCTCTCTCTTTATTTTTTAATTATTATTCTCCTCCTCCCCCTCCTGCCTTCCTCAGATCTCCACGCGTCGCCTCCTGTCACCGGCGGCGCCGAGCAGGCCAAATCCCAGAGTGCGGCTGCTGCCTTGGCCACTGAGCGGGAAAGCCAAACCCAGGCAGTTTCCATGGAGACGATTAGCCCGTGCTGCAAGAAAGCCACCCACATCCCCTCCCACACTCCTCCTCCTGCAACTCTTCCTCGGCCTGCGTCGTTGCTGTCGGAAACGGAAGCAGCGTCGAAGGACACAAGCTCTGCTATGAGCGGCGCCGTGGTGGGGGGGGTGGAGGATGACAAGGACAGGATTGTTGTGGAAATCATGCAGATGTACAGCAGGCAGCAGGAGAAGCTCAACTCCACCCTACAGAAGCAGCAGCAGTTGGAAATGGTGAGTTGGTCGATGGAAACAGAAATGAGCCCAAGATGAAGCAGACTAGCTGTTGACATCAAAGCCTCTTTGATGCAGAGGTGGCACCAACCGACTGCTCCACTAGTCACATTAAACATTTAATGCATTAGGAAATATTGTTTTAATATATACCCAATCATTTCCTTTTCAATTTTTTTCCAAATATTCCTACTTTCTAAACTTTTTCCATATTTTTTCCAGTCTGAACTACAAGCTTCAAAGTATTTAATAGGAATTTTATATAATGAAGCAAAACAGGGAGTTTTCAATAAGGACACATGGATTTTAACGTCTCTTTCATTAAAACTCTTAAAGGTGGGGGCTACCTTAGTAATCAGCCTGTATTACGGCTCTTTGCTTTATTTCCTCGATTGCTCTGTGTTTACTTCAAACAGCCCACCTAGTTTTGTCAGCCCTGCCAAAAATAAAACCCATGAAATTCCCCACACCATGATGGCGCCACCTCTGTTTCATAATAGAACTTGTTATCATGATGATGGAGTGTCAGTTTTTCTCAACGGTTCTGTTTTGTTGTACTCTGACCAAACTACTTTATGTACTTTATGTACTACTAAATGTATTAAGACTAATAATGATGGAGTCCCACCTGAGCTGTGACTCTCTGCACCTCCTCTGAAGTAACTTTAGACCTTTTGACTGATTCTTGGATCAGTGCTCTCCTGGCCTTATATTTTTCTGTTCTTCCAGTTTTGCTATAGTTGCGAACTAAACAGAGTGTGAGTTATTTATAGCGTAGCATATTGTTTCATAAGCTAACTCTGCTTCAGTTGTCTTTACAACTTGAGCGGTCACTGATGTCCAACTGAGGGCGCCACAAGCAGCTAGATTATTTTGAGATTGGTACATAGGTTTTTTTAAGATAATAGACTTGAATTATTTAGGCATATCAGAGTAAAAGGGGTTAAAGGATTAGTTTGTTTGCCAAAATTGCTCATAAATAAATGTAGATGAGAGTTGGAGGTTAAAAAAGACAGTTTGGGGTTTTGTTGGAATTTTTGGCAGCATTACAAGCATGAAATATAACCTCCCAGTGGAAAAGCTGTAAAGCAAAACCTTCTTGTTTGTTTTTCTTTTTTTCCTTCCTATTGTCGATGTGGTGGATCATTATTCAAATTTTTGGATTCTCTGTTTAGGAACTGGAGGCGTTGCGTGGGGGTGAAGCGGCGAGGCTACGGGAGCTTAGCGCCGAGCAGAGGGAGCTCCGCAGCGAGCTGGAGGCGGTGCACAGCGAGCAGGCTCGACGGCTCGGCCAAGCCCGCCAGGAGCAACTGGAACTGGAGACCCGTCTGGAGCAGCTCCGACAGCAGGCCTGCGCCTGTGAGCCCGGGGCCCAACGGCAGCAGGAGGCTCACTATGCTGCACAGGTATGACTCCAAAGATTCTAGTTTTCAAAACGTCACCTTGGATTCTAGCGACATTAACGGCATGTATTTAATGAGCTGTTTTTATCTAGAAAAGCTTGTGTCTTGACTAGGAACTATGGCACTCCCTCTTCTACAGTTTCACGTCATGTTTGTCCAGAAAGATTTGCTGTGCTGGAATGTAAAAACACACTTGGGGCCATTGTTTGGGTTTCCAGTAGATAAAACCTGGAGACAGACGGAGTTATGTTGGCCTGAGCTCAGGGCTAAAGTTTTACATCCAGTCTGCTGCTCAGGCTCCTCCTGCCTCCTTCCACTCCCTCCAGCTCTTAACCCAGTTCCTCTACCAGCTGGCAAGGAGGTTGTGCTTTTAGAATATTGACAAGTCCCGAGTTTGATTCCTTGTTTTAGCTGCTGTAGGAGGACATGAGGCAATATCTCTGAATGTATTTTCTGGCATAATGCTGCAGTGTTTCCCTTGTTTACCACACAGAGGGTGGCTCTATGTAACATCCTGCAGCGTTTTTTTTTTAATTCTGCAATCATATTTTAATGTATTTAGGTTTAATAAAAATAGTTTATACTAAATCATTTTATAGGTTAATGACCTTCAGATGGATTGCTCTTTATTTAGCTTTAATTACCTGTGAACAGCTTTTTGTCCTTGTTCATGATTGCTACATTTATTATGCTTGTAATATTTTAATCTACTGAGATTTGATGTGTTGTTGTTAAAGTCGGACAATATTTGGATCAGCAGGTCAAATCCTTTAAGAAAACCTGACTGGATTTCCTTCTGATTCAGACCGTTAAGCAAAGTTAAATGCAGCACTGTGAGCCCTCCGACATTTTTAACCCTAACCTGACCTCTCCTGCCCCCTTCCAGTTGTCGGAGCTGCGGCAGAGGCTGGAGCAGGCAGAGAGCGACCGGCAGGAACTGCAGGAGGAGCTTCACCAGGAGCGCGAGGCACGGGAGAAGCTGGAGCACACCATTGCCCAGCTCAAGCAGCAGATGGCCCAGTCTGGTATGATGGGAGGCAGCCCATCCCCTCCTCTTACCCCCGCTACAGGATCCATGAACACCCACTCTCCACCCTGCTCTTCCTCCATGCTGGAGGTCCCGGTGGCCGGCCTGAAGTAACTGCAACCTGCTTAATTGTTTTCCGAGTCACTCGGCGACTCTACACCCACAAACAGTTCCCTAAGGCTCCCCTTCTACCCATTTTTTTTAAAGTATAACTACAAGATTTATGTTGTGTTTCTTTTTTATTATTCTCAGTCCTCTCTTTAAACAGTATTTAAAGATTTTTGGGCATGTACGTTTGATTTAATTTATAGTTTTTACTGAACTAATAGCTGCTTTAGAGACAGGAAGTCCCATCTCTATCCACCCCCACCGGATCACAGTCCTTGCTGCTCCCTGCTTCCTGAAGCTAAAGACTGGATTTTGGACTCCCGTCTCCTCACTGATGAAACTCTATGCTAACAGGGCAGCTGGTACCTACAGACTTTATAAACATGAAGGTCAAATGGTCACGAGCCAGCTCTCTCTACATATATATGAAAATATATATTTTCTTTGGGACTCCTTATAAAAACAAAGAAATATAAACACTTTCAAGTTTAAGTCTTTATGGACAGAAAAAAAGACCTTTACTGTACAAAAACAGACATTTCTAATGTGCAGATGTAGAACCTCAATAGATATATGCCAGTAGTGACGCTGAAGTCAGAGTGACTGAGTGTGATCCCCCCGCCCCCAGATTTACCTAGCTATTCCAGCCTGAAGGGCAGATTTCCTCTTCACTCCGATTGGTTGGTCTGCATCCTGCATCAAACAGAGCAGCAGCGGTTCTGGCTGTGGGTCTTTTACCGGTATAAATGTTTGCAAAGGTTTTCTAGTACTACCGATCCAATTCCTGCAATAAGCCAATAGGTTTCTCCAGTGGTATGGGGTACGGAGCAGAAATGAAACGTTGCCCCCTCCCCACTTTTCGTACACTTTGCCATTTAACAGGATTAAAATAGTTGCTACACTTTCCTGCACGCTTATAAAAAAAGCCCCGTTTGGCTGATAATATTTCTGGTTCTGCAAAAGTTAATTTTTCCAGTTAATCAGACTAATTAACCATCCGCTATAAGCTTGTTATTGAATCGCTCTTCAAATATCAGCAGCTTTTTATTCTAGATTATGGAAAAGCTCATGTATTAAATTGATATAACAAGTAAAGTAACTGTCGTAATTACAAAGACGAATGTTCTTTAAAATTCTAAAATCAGATGTATTTTTTTTCTTCTAAACAAATTTGTTTTACACACATTTTCCACTTTTATTCATTTTGCCAGTGATGCACTTCAAATTTGCAACTGTTGATCTCAGCATCATGGCTCCCCACCCAGGGTGCCAAAGCTGAGGGGACGCCACATGATGTGCTAGTTCAAACTTTGCAAACTGTTGTGTTTATCAGGGCAGAAACCTTAAGAAAAAAGCCTTTGCTTTTCAGGGATAGTAAAGTGTATTAGTTATACACAGCTTTGGTTAGAGGTGTAAGAAGAGGGGGTTGCACAAAAGAAGGGAAGCTCTCAAGGTGACACTCATACAGATATAAGGGATTAAAGCCCATCATCAAAGTAAAATGGATATAGGATATTTAACATTAAATTCATATAACCAAATGTTCTACAAATAGTATGGTAGGAATATATTTAAACTTTTTTGCTTATTAAAGTAGGTGCAAAACATCTTGCTGCAGACGATTCCTTTTAGTGCCAAAGGAAACGAGGTGTGAACAGACAGCAGACCTAGATCACTTATTTCAATTTTAGGTTTCAGGGTAAAAACCTTAAACCGCTCTATTTACCTCCAATGCTATCGTACCCAGATCTCACTCGGTCCGCATGCCCGATTTGGACACAGGTGCAGCTCTTTCTGGGTTACCGTGACAACACATAGAAAAACCTGCACATGTGCATGCACACAGTGGAGTGTGTTGCAGGCATCCATGCAGAACGGTGGCCCCAGCGTTCCCAGCAGATGATCAAAGCTCCAGCCTGCTTTCTTTTTTTTTTTTTTTTACTTCATTGTTAGTAGAAGGTTTGGTCCCCCTCCCTTCTCCTGCCGTCTAAAGAAAAAATGTGGGTCGCAGGTGAAAGCTGTTGATTCAGTACAGTTTCGGCTCCTCTTTGCACTTATTCTTCTTGGCTGAGCAAACAGCATGAAGCAGGGAGGAGGAGGGGGGGCATTGAGGCTCTCCTTCCTCACTCATATCAGGCTGGGTGGCCCTGATGCCGCGCGTCTCCAGAGGGAGAGCCCCCCCCCCCCCCCCCCCCCCCCCACCTTTCAGGCAGCTGCTGTCGTCTGGGGCCCTCCAGCCACCCTCTGGTGGATGACCCACATCCAGATCCGTTCAGATGCCTAGGAGGGCGAGCAGACGAGGAATCTCCTAACGCCCAGGCTTAAGCGCTTTTTATCGGCACTATAAAAAGATCCCTGTGAGCGTCTGTGTGAGTGAGTGAGTGTGTATAAATAACTGCCATGGATCGTCCCCTGCAAAAACTCTGAGCTTCTTTTTTTGTATTTTTTTGTTTTTTTATGCATCTGCTCTTAAAATTGACAAGACATTCCACTGTGCTCCATCCTGTTTCATGCAGATTTTCTTATCCCGCCTCCCTTTACAGAGACCGACCTTAAGGAGCAGGCAGAGTGCAGGTGGAACAAATGTACACTCTACTGTTGTTGCATTTAAAACATTTATAAAGATGATGAAAGAAAATATTTAACATATTAACAAAAGATTTATATTCACTGTGTAAATAAAGTAGTCATTAATATATTAACTGTTATTATATAAATAATCTTTAAAAGGTTATAACATTTGGATCACAGGTGAGGCTTTGTTGGGCCGAAATGTTTTTGCTTTCTTTAATTTTAGAGAGAAAGGAAGAAAAAAAAAAGGACTTCTCAGATGGATTTTCTGGAGTGGATGTGGGGGAATGAAGTGCATGGTTTGCTCAGACATGATAAAAAAAAAGATAAAAAGATAAAAAAAACATTTGCTACACACTCTTACTCCACTTTCAGAACCGATGCTGTTGTTTTTATAAATTATATCATGACAGGCTGTTTTTTTGTTATTTGAACCTTTTCCTTTTTATCTAAATTTAAAAAAATGCTCAAGAACTCATTTGGAGGAAAAAAATAAAGAAAAAAAAAAGTTTGCATGTTTTGCTACCTTTACAGTTTGTGTCGCCAAGTTACACTCTTCTTTATTGTTTGAGAAAAAAAAAAAAAAAAAATCCCAAAGACTCATTTATCTCCATAGATCCTTTAAAAAGGCTCATCTGCATGAATTATTGAACATGTGCAAAGTTTTCCTTCTCTCTGGGGTTGGCCAGGATATTATGCCAGAGTTTGATTATGAAGATTGTAAACTGTAGAATAATTCGGTCTGTATTGAATTCTTTTGCTTTTATTAACATTTAAACCATGTATTAACCCGTCAGATGCTAATCAGTATCAGTATCATTTTTAATTCTATTTTCTTCTGCAGCAGAAAATAAACCTGAAACATGTTTTTTTCTTCTTTCAAAGTAGTTTGCATTTTATAAACAAGTGGGCACCGTTTAGTCTTTTTGTTCCATCTATAACTGACGAGTAGCAGAGGAAACTCTTAAGACGGCATGCTGGGCCTTTTGTTTTGTTTTTGCAGCTTTTTTAAGAACTTAGATGTGTTTTGTACAGGGATGGATTTTGCCAAACTGATAAAAATAAAAAGGAGGCCCCACAGATTGACTGCAGGAGACTCCAATTCTTGATTAAAGGTGGAATTTACACATTTTTAAAGATGGTTAAATAAAAGAAACCTAAATATATTGCTTTCCCATCAGTGCTGTTTGGAAAGATGAACAGCAGTGTCTGTGTGTGACCATTGCATACTTCGTTGCCAATACTACAGTGTGATGAGACTTTCTTTTTATTTTCTTGCATGAATTAGAGACACTGTTCTCCTACCTCATGTTGTGATATAAAAGTTTTTTTTTCAAAGCAGAGGACACTGCATCTCTAACTGTTGAGCATCATTAAATGACAAACCTGTAAATGCTTTTAGATGATACCTCAGTTGTATCTAGTGGATTATTTTTTTGTTTTCTGGATTTTTTTTATTATCTTCTTTATTCCTTGATTTCAAATCTTGTAAATAAATCCTGTATAGACGATGAACTTGGATCAAATTCAAGTAAAGTTCTGTAGTGTCAAATCTAACGTTGTTTGTCTTTTGTTCTCTTTGCATATATAAAAACTAGCTGGAAGCTTTTTCATGAAACTGGGGAAAAAACTTTAAAGGCTGTTTTTTTTTTTTTTTTTTTTTCAGATTTAAGTACCAGGAAATTCTTCTTGCTTAAAATAAGTGTATTTACCCTTAAATTGGATGGCTAAATAAGATGATCTGCCAATGGAATTGGTATGTTTAGCCTTAAAATAAGATAATTAGATATTATGCACTTGAAATAAGAGACCTCTTATTTTAAATGTAAATTGTTTTATTCCATTTGCAAATTGTCTCAGCTGCTCAATTCAAGAAAAAAAGCACTTAATTTAAGAAAATTTTACTTAGATTTACATTTTTAACAGTACAGTTAAAAAAATCTAAGAATTCTCCTAATGTTTGATAATAAACATCCTAAAATTAACAGTTAAATTGTTTTTTCGCATCTGCAATTAATTTTCATTTGGTTTAGTGTAAATGCAACTCCCTTTATGATGTGCACATTTAAATTAAACAGAACATGAATGGAACTAGAATTAATTTATGTTGAAAATGTGACCTTAAAACCAGAATCTATTGAAGAACCTATTAAAACTGATAATTTAAAAGTGTTAACCCTCACACAACAAGGGAGCTGTAAGTTGTAGCATGAGCTCAAATTAAAAAACTATAAAAAGCTAAAGTTTTTTTTCATATAATGTTCTGACTTTAGTTCTTTTTAACAAAGCTTAAGCATCTCTTACATTTCTAACACAATGCTTGATCAGAGAGCCTTTCACTAGAAGGAAGAGTCCATGAACTCCTGAGGTATAACTATAACACCGCTAAGAGGCTAGTTCCCATAAGTCAAACACCACAATGCATTGTGGTTATTTCAACTTAGTGGAGAACAAGGACATCTTATTGATTTCTACCATTTTAGTCCTGACAGCTGGCATTGTAGAGGTGTAAAGTTTCAATCAATCCTTTAAATGAATATCTATGCTTATGGAGTGGCAGTTTCATCCTTATCCTGCATCTCTCTTTGGCAAAGATATTACTTAAAGCTGCAAGAAAAAAAGGACATTTTAGCTTCTCTCGGTTAGAAAAAAATGGCTAGAATACTAGCTTTGGACTATATACTCTGTACAGGTGTTGGTGTATCTTAATTGCTCTTATTGTTGAGGAACATTTACCTAAAAGTTAGAATCAATCATATCCATGAATGGCTATTTGTGTTTATTCCTTAACAAGGCTGTGTAGAAACCAAAGAAATGCAGCTATTATGGCTCTATATGTAGTTCAAACACTTTTCTTTTTTTTTTTCCATGCAAGCCAGACATGTTTTTCCTAAATAAAATTCAATAATTACATTTCAGTTGCCTTTCTTCCTTCTCAATTCCAGTGTCTTTACCTTTGCATTGAGGCTAAAATTAACCAAGGAGAAGCTGTCTGCAGAATTGCTGCCAACCCCCTGCGATAGCTGCAAGGGTTGACAGACTGCACATAAAACAGCCACTAGCAGGAGGTGGATTATAAAGCACAGCCAATGTTCAGATCCAGGTATGACAGCATTCTCGCTGGCAGAGGGAGCAGTGTGGCCAAGATAGCCAGAAAAAGGGTGGTGATAATAACCACTAAGTATATTAGACATGCCACTGTGTGAACAATTATTAGGCAAGTTATAGTTTTGACCATATCGTCATTTTTTATGCATATTTTCCAAATCCAAGCAGTATAAACTTGATTGCTTATTGAATATAACAAAAGAATGTAGAACTTTATTTCAGATAAACCAATTAAAAATACAAATCTCATATATACATTTAAAAATTACAGTTTTTCTCGATTGTTTACACACAAATATTGGTACTTGAAACACAATGACCACAAAATGTAACTCATGCACCAACCCCCTGAACCAATTCTGCTAAACTACAAGCACAATTCCTGCTTTACACTCAAATTGCAGTTCTAAAACACACTTTTTCCAAAACTCTACACACAATTGTCTTGAAGAAAATCTTTTGTTTTCACAAGGAACACACTGTTATTCAAAACTCTAAAGTTAATTTCCCTACTATGCACACTGACTCCTCACATGGGCAAACACCTAACACACATGTTTCCACTCAGCAATCAGAGCTTTAGCATAGAAGGGCAACAGGTGAGCTCTTCTGTTTTGGAGCAATGGAGGCCAATGTTGTAAACAGGGGCAGAGCCAGAGCCAGAGGAGTGAGAGTAAGAGGAGGACGATGGGGAGGACGAGGACGAGGAAGGCCAAGGACAATCATTTCTGATGAGATCCGAGCAACTTTGGTTGACCATGTGGTCAACCATGGCCTAACAATGAGGGAGGCTGGGCAAAGAGTACAGCCAAATTTGAGCAGGTACACTGTAGCATCCATCATCCGGACTTTCCGCAATGAGAATAGGTAAGAAATCTACTCTCACTACAAAACTGCAGTACTGCATATCAATACAGTACTCAATGAGTACAGTAGTACAGTATTACCTGTGGACTGTTCTGTAGGACATTGTGTTTCGAGTATTTGGGAAATGTATTCCTACACAGTATTTACAGTATTGCACTCTTTGTATTGCAGAACTGAAAGATTACCAACAAGAGGTGGACGGGGCCGTCTTCTGTCTCCTGAACAGGAAACAGAGATCATGAACATGGTTCTTGAAAATAATGCCATTACCTTACGGCAAATACAAAGAAAAATAATAGAAAACAATGAGATATTTCAAAATATTGATAGGGTAAGTTTATCAACGCTGGACCGTGTCTTGCACAGAAATAAACTGAGGATGAAGCAGGTCTACAGGGTGCCATTTGAGCGCAATTCAGAAAGGGTCAAAGAATTGCGATATAACTATGTGCAAGTACGTCCTATATAGTACATTCCCACCTTTGATGCATACTGTCAACATTGTATAAATCATACATATTTCTTTCTATTATATTGTAATCATAATGATTGTGCTTCACAATAGAGACCGCTCCATGTCTACTTCTGATATTGTCATGTGTGTTTCAGAGAGTCCTTAAGCTGGAGGTGGATGCAGTGGAGCACCAGTTCTTCTTCATTGATGAGGTTGGATTCAACCTCACAAAAAGACGAAGGAGGGGAAGGAATATAATCGGCCAGCGTGCCATTGTTGAAGTCCCTGGCCAGCGCGGAGGGAACATCACAATGTGTGCAGCGATGACCGACCATGGCATCATCCATCACCATGCTACCCTTGGCCCCTACAACACTGCCCATCTGATCACATTCCTGGACACCCTACACAACACACTCATTCCACCAGATCAGATAGACGGCCCAGAGCAGCTCAGGTACGTTGTCATTTGGGACAACGTAAGCTTCCACCGGGCTGCTCTGGTTCATAACTGGTTCACTGACCACCCACGCTTTTCAGTTGTTTATCTCCCTCCATATTCTCCATTCCTCAATCCTATTGAGGAATTTTTTTCTGCCTGGAGATGGAAAGTGTACGACCTAAATTCAGAAACGCGTATACCCCTTTTCCAAGCTATGGAAGACGCATGTGGAGATATAGCAGTTGATGCTTTTCATGGCTGGATTCGCCATGCTAGGCAATATTTCCCCCGCTGCTTGGCCAGGGAAAACATTGCTTGTGATGTAGATGAGGTGCTGTGGCCAGACCGAAACAGAAGAGAGGATGCAGCATAGTTTATTTTTTTTTATTTTTTTATTATTACTCTAACTGTATACAGTAAAATCTTCTGCACTGTATGTGCAACTTTGTGTCAGTTGGGATGTACACTGTGTACATTGTTTTGTGGGAAAAATAAAACATGTTTGTTACAGTATATTTGTGTGTTCTGAGTATAAAAACAATATTCTAAAATATTTTACAACGCACTTATGTATTTAATGTCTGTAGTAAGTGTAACACTGAACAAAAAGTCATTATGATGAATGGAGAATGGTGTTTTACACTGAGCACATCAGTGTTTAAATGCTTTTTTTAATTGTCTGTTCATATGATAGTTTGTGTGTGTCATCTGAACACAAAATGGCCTTTTGTGAAGAGATAAAACTGTTTTGAATGTAAAGTTTCATTTTGCAGGAGAATTGAAGGGTTTTGCCCATTGTGTGTGTGTTTGTTGGATTTGTGTGTAGAGTTCTGAGAATACGAGGCATGTTTTCAGAAATGTGTGTAAACAATCCAGAAAAACTGTAATGTCATAAATAATTATTTGTACAATTTAGTACTTCTGTCTTAAAAGAGGTATGAAGTCACGAAACTTACTTAATCAAACTTATTCCCCTTCTTATAGTCCATAACACCAACAATATTACCGTCTCTTGTTTAACTAAAAAGGCCTGTACTGTTCCAAAAGTTCATAAAGTTAGCAAATAAATAAATGTATGTACATGTACATGTGCCTAAGAAAAAGGTGATCAACAAGGTCAGGGTGTGTTTAATTATTAAGGAAGCTTCTTTTCCTCTGGCAAAATAGGCCATAAAAGAGATTGAATTGACTCTGAAAAGTCCAAAATTGAAAAAAGATTTTTAGAGGAATGCAGCAAGAAACATGTTGAGAAAAAAAGGTGCAAAAAAAAAATTGCCAAAAATTTGGGAATAGTAAAAGGTGAAGCTACCAAGAACCCATCATCCCCCAGCGCCTCGACTTTACAGGAACTGCAACCTACCTGGAAAACCCAGAGGTACAAGATGTTTGGTTTCCAGAGACATGAGGGAGGTAAGTAAACCTGACCACTACTGAACGAGACGCGTTGAAATATCAAGACTGGGCCAATAAATATCTGAAGACATATTTTTAAAAAAATATTATGGACTGATCAGAGGAGTAACTTTTGTCGGACCAGATGGATGGGGGCGTGGCTGGTTCAGTAATTGGTACAGCGTTTCACTCAGATGTCAGCAAGGCGGAGGCTGGGTACTTGTTTGGGCTGATATTATTAAAGTTGAGCTAGTTGGACCTTTTTACATTGAAGATAGACTTCCAATTTAACTC